GGGGGGGGGGGCGCGGCGCGGGGGGGGGGATTCACCGGGCCGGTGCGCGGGGTGCGGCCTTGAGGGTCCTTGGATTGAGAGCCCAAGGCTGGGCGCAAATCCTTGGAATCTGGCCTCACCTTGGCTGATGGCTAATAAAGGGGAAAACAGAAACCCCCTCCTTCTCAAATCCCTTTCCAGAGGGTTTCAGGACCCATGGCCCAGGGGGGGGCGCGGCGCGGGGGGGGGGATTCACCGGGCCGGTGCGCGGGGTGCGGCCTTGAGGGTCCTTGGATTGAGAGCCCAAGGCTGGGCGCAAATCCTTGGAATCTGGCCTCACCTTGGCTGATGGCTAATAAAGGGGAAAACAGAAACCCCCTCCTTCTCAAATCCCTTTCCAGAGGGTTTCAGGACCCATGGCCCAGGGACCTCACGCAAACTGGAACCCCTCCCCCGCCTGGCCAGACCCAGCATCTCCTGAGGATCCAGAGGCCCCAAGACCTAGGAGCATGAGCGTCTGGGGGCAGGCCAGCCAGTCACCCACACCCAACCCCAGCCACGCACAGTGGCTTCCTCTGGCTGGGGGTGGGGATGTCTGGTGGGGACCCTTGTCACTGCTTCAAAGCGGCAGACACGCAGGGGCTCCTAGGGTGGGTCTCCCCTTCCGTCACTTGTGAGAAGGAATCCGAGCTCTTGCTATTGACATCCCAGGACCGTAGGTCTCCCCAGTAGCGGCTTGGGGCACAAGCAGGGGAGAGTCTGCAGAGCAGGGGCTGGGGTCAGAGCTCTCTGAGCTGAGAGGCTGTCCCCTAAACCTGTTTCCACAGCCACGCATAGGACCAGCAGCCACACAGGAAGACTGCAGGGTGAGGCATTTGGAGGAAGAAGGGAAAGGAAAGGTTTCAAGCAAGCTCCCAGAGCTCAGAGAGACTGTGAATACACCACTTTCTGGACGAGGGATTCAGATACCTAATTTGTTCAGTGTGTGTGATTTACCAAGTGCCTGCCGCTGGGGGCACACGGATGGGGACCTCAGCCCAGAGCATTTGTCCCTTGGCACCTTCTGCCCTGCTCCCATCTGTACCCTGGGCTGT